TCAGCGCGGATATATCGAGTTACAGTGAGTTTGAAAACTGCGATACACTATGTTTGGGGCTTTTCCGTCGAATTCGCGGAACATTGCCGAGAAATAGAGCATGACAAATGTTCCAGGAAAATTTGGTCGAAATCGGAATAAAGCCTGGACTCTGACAGTCATCGATACCGCGTTGAACATGAATTTCCGCCTGGCAAGCGGTGGAAATGCAAAGTTCGATCGTACGGGAACAATCTAACAAAGGGCGTTGCTGCGAAGTGTCATCGGCGAATATCGATTTTGCGTGGTATCGCGAAGAAATTCCACGAGCTCCGTGCAGACTGCAGGAAACGATAATTGTCAGGTCAACTGCTCTGTTGAAGCCCCGTGATCTCCTAGGGGAAGCAGCATATTTCGCGTCTTTTAATTAACATAAAGATGTAATTCTTTCTATGACAGAAGAAACAAATCGTCGAATTAAAATCAAACAAAATTCCAAGGGAATCAACGACGTTAATTTTTCGCGCGTTGCCACATAATGATCGCCCAGACCACGTTACGTTGTCATATAAAATATTTTTTTTATTAAGTTTTATGTATTTTTCACATATAAATTTGTTTTCCTCACAAGTCGGACAGCAAATGAAACTCTTGTAGCAACAGGCGTCTGAACAATAATTGTTTAGATAACGATGACGGAAATTCATGCTTAATTAGAAGAGCAAAAGTGATTTTTACGGTGTGCGGTTTGCTATTAAGATCACCTATCATTCGTTATTCTTTTCTATCTCTTTCCCTTTTGATCCATCCCTCTTTCCAGCGTGTCGAAGCATACGGCGATCTCTGACAAATCGTGCATGAAAAGCGGATTTTCCATTACGCTCTACGCCCATTTTAATAAACTATGTCGAGTAATCATCGTCAGCTCGTCACCGGCACGGGAGCGATCTGATATGGAATTATTAATCTTGCCGTTCGTTAGTACAATTTCAACGCGCGCAGTTTAACGTTCCATTACCGGCGGCGCGGGCGTTTATTTTTTTAAATTTTTTTTTCGTTCTCATTTCTTCGATATTAACACGACGTTTCGTCATGATACATTTCCCGACGTACTGATTATTCCATGATATTACAATAATTGTCATCGATAATACATGCGCGCGTTTGTGCACATTTATTTTCTAACAATAAGCCCCCAATTCGAGCCGCAGGTTTACAATCATTAGCCGCGGAAAATACGGGTAAAATTCATATATTGTCATAAATGATAGATTACAATTATCAAAATTAGTGTCACAATTATGATCGGCGGTAATGAATATTCCATAAACGCGCGAGCGCGCGCAGGTACGTGGGTTACGACGCCGGTGCGCAAATGTGCGGGAAAACAATGTTGCGGATACACGTAAAAGGCCACGGGAAAGCGTGTTCCCGCATATCTGAGGATAGACGGCCTATAATAACCCTATATATACGGACCTTGACTTGCAAATTAGTTTATTATTTCCGTACTCGAGATAACCGTATCACCACTGCCACCATCTTTTAAGTGTGCGCGACAAGAGGTAATGCGCCTGACTCGCGGGCGAAATGGCACTCTGTAATTGGACACCGCTAATGCAACCCCTGTCCTCGTTCGTCGAACGTGAATAGAATAAGGAGGCTGGCGGAAGAAGTTGCCGGAAGAAAAGCGGTGAAGGAGAAAGACGGAGGGGCAAAGAATGAAGGTGGACGCGCAGGCCGATTAGCGGAACGGTACCTAAGAATGCCTTTTTCCCCCCTTTTTTCCTCTAGGAAAAACCTTCCTCTCCCCTTTTTCACCTCTGAGGCCCTATTTCCCTTTTGGGCCTCTCTCTCACCTTGCGTTAACTTTTTCAGTCGCGATTTTTACGCGGTTTGCCCACCGCATAATTCACTCGGTTGCCTCATTCGCATCTACATTGATCATTTCCTCGCGGTTCTCATTTTTATTTGCCACAAGGGTTCCTTTCCTTCGTCGGCCCGGCATTCACCGCGGTAGAACGCGAAACGCTCGCACTTCTTCTTCAAGCCCTCGGATCTCGATCTGTTCTGTCCCGTCTCGTCTCATCCCTTCGTCCCTACCCCATTACTTTCCCCACCTCCTCGTTCTCCTACTTTCCGCTTCCAGGCCGAATGCCCATTCTTCAGCGTCTACTTGAAGCGGCCCCGTTGCCCACTTCAAATCGCGACGACCTGGAATGGACCTTATCGTTCAATAGTATACGGCGCTATAACGTTCTTTGCCATCGTACCGTGCCTCGATTCAGAGCCCGCAGCTCCTAGGGAGCTTTAGTTTCTCCCGTAGCTCGAAGATGCTAAGCTCGAGATAGAATCGACGACCCTCGAACGTTTCAAGGGCTCGCAATAGTACCCGACACAGCCATATTTCGTTCACGCGAAAGCGCGATAATCCGGCCAAACTTTCATTTACGGAAGATGGTGCTCAGCCCGGGCACGAAGACAAAGAGGAAGGAGAAGGAAGAAGAGGAGAAGGAGAAGGATGAGGAGGCAATAGACGAGGCCAAAGAAATTGAATCTATTACACAGTAGATCCGACGATGAAACGCCGAAGGGGTTTATCTTGTTCCGCTTCGACATTCTCCAAAGTTAAATGTTCTTTTGGGTTATACGTTGCGCTTCTCTTCGGTAACAAGAAACTCAATAGAATCCTTCGTTATATGTCAGACGATCCGGCGACACTACATTGACTTCTTATTAAAAAAAAATTCCAGAGAGCCAGAGATGGAGAATGTTCGATTTTACGTGAGAGCCGAATAAGGGAGTGGCTGATTTTCCTTCCTTCTTCCATTTCTCTTCTTCCCTTTGCCATACTGTAGATTATACTCTCAGTTTGTATAACTTGCCGTATGCGCGACACATATTTGTGCGGAATATACCTAGCGCGCGCAAATCGAAGATTTAAATTCGATACGTCCAAATGACAGTCGCGCGGCATTTTGCAGTAAATCAAGTAACCGATACTAGGCAGGCTCTAAAATGTTTGAGAATAAATGGATTTATGGCGTGATGATAACCACGGCTTCGTTTACCGAAAGGGAGGGCGCGAGAGGCTGGGATGCAGGAAGGAATAGAAATTGAATATATTACGCCGAAGCGTCGCTCTACAACGCCAAAGTGCGCGCCGGGTCGTCTATCTTACTGATTTTCTTGGCAAACTCGCTCGCTCCTTAAGCGACGCATTCACATTGCCTTTAAGCCCGACAGAATATTGCCTGCTATACGATGTTTATTACTGACGAATAAACCGCTCGTGAATTTTATCTAAGTTCGTTTGTCTTACACACGACTTTTATGCATGTCATGTTCGTTGACATCATCTTCTCTTAATATGATAATCATTTTTTATTACGTAAGGATTTGTGTTCGTGTGTGTGTGTGTGCGCGCTTGCGCCAATCATGTTCTCTTTCGTCGGATACGCTTTGAATAAATAATCTACGAGCAAACGCTTTCCACCATTTTAATCGAAATTTCGAAATATTGAAAATCGCCGTGCGGCATTATTTGATAAAAATTTAGAAATCGGTAGATAAAGCAGAAAAAGTATTTAAAAATGGGGAACAAAAGATCGGAGCAGAGATTCGATATTATATGGCGTCGGAAGCGCTTTATATCCATGCGTATTTCAGAATAGAAATTTAATATTTCTCAATATTTCGAATCAAACCCATAAGCGTCGGCAAATACGAATATATAGTACAACTATGAAATACTATGAATGCAATATGAAACTTTTATTAGAAATATTCTTTCTTGCATACGTATTACAAAAGTCAACGGTATTCGGTTGGGATTACGTATATCGAGTTATCTTTGAAAAATGAAAAAAAATATGTCCCTCTAATTTTTGGCTATTCGAGACACCATGTATCCCCGACTCGTCGAAATTCGAGAACGAATCGTGCGAATATTTCCCAGTGAAAAAAAATATATATATATAATATTGTGTGATAGGAAGAACGAAAAAAAGCCGCAAAAAGAATTAGAGAACTAAGCACTCACGATGAATGGTTCGGACACGCTCGATAAAAGAGTGCTTTCGTGTATCTACTCGAAGTATGCGAACAATGCGACTCGAACAGACGGCACGATATAAGACACTCGTGTCCAGCGTGTTACGACGTTATGTTACGATGTTGATGTAGCTCACTTCGATCATCTATCATTTAGGAGCCATCGGAGCCGTACAATTTTCCGAGCCATAAAATTTTTCCAATCGCGTGTTTTCACAACTTGCACGTTTCGTATAAATAAGATATCAACGCGAAGAGTTTCCGTTTTATCGGAAATATTTCGTGGACTGTTCGATTATGAGAATTTGAGAGAAGAAAAAATGTTGATTCGAGGCACGACAAAAGTAGAGGAAATATTTAAGGCACATGCACACACTTCGTTTCGATACGGTTTAAACATTTTTTTCCTCAATGTAGTTCGAAAGAATTTTGTTTTAATTAATTTCCAGAAACCAAGTTTTCTCCTTGGATCCTCGGTTACGTTCCAAACTGTATAAAGAAAAAAGTGTCCAAATGGCGTTGAAATTAAGTAATATATGTGATACATGAATCATACACTGTCTCTCTGCGGTCCGACTCAGAAAAGCATGTCGTAACATCGAGCGCAATTCGCCGTAACTGGATATGGTTGCGTTTATTATAGCTCCCACAACGTCGTTACGTATCCCCGGCGACGAAGCTCGCTTTCAAAGAAGCAACGTAATTATGACGATGGGGATGCGTAATAAGAAACTGCGTTAATGCACATCGCGAAACCTAATTATCGGCACGGATAAGTAAGCGGCGCGTGCTGCGCATCCCGCGAAGACTACTTGCTGTATTGGCCCCTTATGAATTTCGTTGCGCTAAAATTATTTAATGAAAGGAATAAAGCGACACTGGCGCGCCGTTTGGAAGTACGAGAAGCGATGCAAAGCGGAACGGAGGAGCGAGCAGGCAGTCTATTATGCACCAAGTCTAATAACAGCTTACCGGAGCTTACTAAAGCTTCCTGAGAGTTCCCGGGAGCAAAGTGATTGTTACAGATATCGAGCGTAGCAACAAAGAGACAGGACCAATGAGATTTTCAGAAAAAGGGGCCTCGCGCGCGCCGTTCCTTCTTTTTTCCATGGTAATAACTTCCCGCAGGAGGGGGATAAGGGACGCGTTGATCCGATCGTTCGTCCGTTGTGACCGCGCAAAAATCTCGGGGATCTCTCCCGTGCGATCTCGCGATTCGAAAGCTGAGTAAGAAATGAGTGCGGAGCGTAAGCCGCGACGATATTTTCTCGGTTTCCCCGGCGGTCTCTCCGTTCGACTGAGTGCGATTCTTATTTATCTATGATAAATGCCAAGCGCGACGCGCGCACCGGTAGAAAATGTCGTCCGGGGAAAAAATAATAATAAAAAAGACGAATAAATAGATGTAATAGTCGTCGGAAGGCAGGACAATTAATTTTCATTCCGCATTAACGTTGCAAATGAAAAATACGTGGATATGCAATTTATTTGCACGCGTGACTGTCAGAGATAAGGGCGCAAGCACGACGGTGCGGGAATTACCATACAAATAAAAAAGAGAGAGAGAGAAGTAAAATTGGCAATCGATCACCTTCGCAATTGAAAACGCGCACCGGTGTTTTTACGTGACCGCTTATGACACGCGATACGCGTTTATCAATTTGATGGATCGTCTATATCTGTCTGTGCATCGTCGACTCATTTTTACCGTCCTCCGAATTTATATACATATTTGCGAAAAGTTCGAATCCGGCGCGCTTGTTCCTTGAACGAGGGCGCGATTTTCAGACCGAAGCTATCTCGCATTATCCGCGTGGACTCGGACGGGCGGTAAAACGCTCGTGAGGGAAGTACTTTTGACGAGAATGTCGATTAGTGCGACATCGTTATCCCGACCAGGACGATCGACCCCGATTTCAAGAGTGAAACGAGAAAAGCTCGTCGAATGCCGGCTGTGCAGGCAAGCAGCGCTGGAATTTCGCGCGGGACGATAATTGGTTGCGCGGCGATAATCGAGAAGATCGTTTGTCTTCCGCGACTCGCAAGCAAAAGAAAGAAATAAATAAAAGAGGAAAGAATAACGGTGTCCTTACCTTTCCGGAGCCCCTCGAGTTGCACAGAAGAACACCGGCGGCGTGAATCCTGTACTCCTTGTCGAGTTGCTCGTGTTGCCCTTGAATTTTCCTGCGGACAAGCGACGTGACGGAAGAAGTAATTTGCAAGCGTCTCATAACGGTGCGTAAGCGCGCGGGTACTTAAAAAAACGAGCTTTTTCCGCGTCGTTAAATTAAGTATATAACGAAATTAAGTTACGTGGAGAATCAAATGACGGCGAAGCGGCGCCAATTTGCGAGAGTGCAGATGTGATACGTCGTATTTTTTCTCTCTCAATTTCTTGCAGTGAAATTTTTCAATCAATGAGTAAAGTGACGATCAGATTGTTCGAATTTGAGTGATTTCCTATTCACACGAGGTGAATTCTTCGCTCTGAATCGTCCGCTCGAAATTAAAGAGTGAGTTTAATGTATTTTACAGTCACAAGAACAAAATCACTGGAATCGATTGAAATATTCGTATATAGAGTCAGAATCCGCTTTAAGTATGAGTAAAACATTCACGATGCCGAGTGGTAATATCTTCACTATCGCTTCCAGTGAATATTCACTCGTTTCTGAGTGAGATCTTACTTGAAGACATTTCGACATAGTGACTGTCGTCGATTGAATTTTCCCTTAACCTCTTCAGAGATACTGACACTTATATGTTACTTTTACATACGTTCGATTTTTCTTTTTAATTCAGACACTGCCGACAAGATTACAACGGACATTACTGTGAATAAACGCTCGTCAGAAAAACTCGCAGAAAAAAGAGAAATCTCGTCACATAATTGATAGATGTCGCACTTATGTCTCTTTAAAATGAAATCATGTTCTCCTGATTTTAATCAATTCATCCCTGAAGAGGTTCGAGCAGGAAGGTTGATTCCGCGTTGCGGGATGATTTAAAAGTTCGCGCGAGATAATCCGTCAGATATGCCCGTCGCGTCGGGCGTGCTCCTCGCGCGAGAAACTGCGAGATCGTGAGGGCAGTTTGGCCACCGTCCTCCCGGATCCCTTGGCTGCGAGCCGCTATAACGAGAAGAAGATGGCACCCTCACGGCCCACTGGCACATTTTCCGAGGGACCCTCGAAGCCGGTGATTTACAAACTGAAAAAGTTGCTCGCGCGCGAGCAACTTTGGCAATTACGGGAAAGCAAACGGTCTTATAAATTAGGGCTTTCACGTTCGTTCGCTCGCTCGTTTCGCCTTCTTCCACGCGCGGATCTTGTACTCGCACGCGAGACCAAGTGAGAGCATAGTAGGAGCGAACCCCCCGAGTTCCCCTCCGTGCATCCGGGAAATTCTCCGGGAGTTTGACGGTGCAGTAAAGTTTCGGGAGAGGAATTAATTGAACGGCGAGGTATCGCGCGCGGGCTTTTTTGTCGATTAAGCTGATTTTGAAAGCGGTTGCAAGACGCTTTAACACGTCCGGCGCGCCGGCGATAACATGCTAATCTTGCCTACAAAGACCATGCCAATATATCGTACTCTGTACGGAACACGGGGCGAGGGGATATTAACGAAACTAAATGGCACTTCTCTCTCGCAGCGCTCCGGGCGTTTCGAAACTAGATTGAATATCCGTAGAGTCATTTTTATCAGCATTCATCCCGTGGATACTGGCACATATGTAAATATTTAGAAACGCCCAGTTTTTTTCTTTTCCGAATTCCAACATTGTCGACACGGATAAAACGAACGTTATCGTGAATAAATATTCACCAGAAAATTACACGACGAGGAAAGGAGGAATCTCGTCGTATGATTTATACGATGTCATATTTGTGTCGCTTTAAAATTAAATCAGTCTTTTCTGATATTAATAAATTCGTGCCTGAAAAGATTAAAAGCGGGACATCTCGTTCGCCGAGAATGTGTCATTTTATTTTACGTATTACGTGGAGTGTCGCTGAATTCTCGCGTTTATTTTCCCAGGTAGATTCCTCCGGTCGGTTTCGAATCAATTTTCCTCGTCAGAACTGTTATATCGCGTTTCTCGTCTTGTTCTCGTTAATATTCGGCACGTTATATACCTCAAAAGATAATACCTCGATCCGTTTTGGAGGAAAGCAAAGGAAGTATTAATAACGTCGGACGTTTCGAAGCAGAATTTATTAAATTTGTCCAGACTGACACAATGCACATTACATCGCGATATGAGATGTGCGCGGGACAATGGCGGCGAAATAAGATTGTTGAGGGATTTGAGCAGGTGGATGAGTAATTGAGCCGCGTGTCGAGCGCGACGAGCGCAATTCTTCGAATTCAAAATTTCGCTCGGTCTCCGGGGCGACCTTGTGAAATCGCGAACGAAAATTCATACCGAATATGTAATTCGTCGTTTAATATCCAACACGATGAGCGCTCTCGCGTTATACGTAACGTTGATATACCGTTGAACAAATACGCATAAGCGTTACCGAGCGATTCGCCGCTTCTTTCTCCGCGAGGTTTCCCGCTGTAGAATCGATTCTCGAGCGAGAAGGTTACACATTCGATTTCCGCGCCTCGCTGTTTTACTTTTTACGACTCGAAATCCTTCTCCTTCGTGCGGTTTCTACCTTTCGCCTTAGCCAGGATCGGATGTGTTATTACGGCCGGCTTGATCGAACGGAATATGTGAGCAAGTTCTTATCGGTATCGAGAAACGTGAGATTTATCACTTTCATTCTATTTACGTCCGTTCGATATCCGCGCGCGACCAAACCGGAGTATAATATATTTCACCTTATACGATCGCAGACGATTAAAACAAAACGCGAAGGAAAGACAAAGCGAATGTATCTTTTCGTCTCACGAGGACCTCTCGTTTGCGTGCGCAGCCTCCGAGCAATCGTTACTTCAACCACGTCATTGTCTCCGAGGCGAGGCAGAGAGAGGATCGCGAAATTTCGTGGCGCGATATCCGCTGTCTCGTGAATTTATCAGTACCGTATAATGAAGGGGACACTGGTGCGGCCAGCTTGCGCAAACACACGGCGCGGGAGACCGCAAACGCGAGGACGGAGCTGTGCAAACAGCTCTGCTTGTGTTGGAACGCGCGAAATAAAGAGGCTCACGTCCCGCTGACCGGCACTCTTTCTCAAGGCGTTGCTCTTTTCCGCCTGGCATATACGGGCGCGAGCGGGCGAGAATAATTTCGAGAGAGCGTTTCGCGAAATAAAGAGCGAGAGAGAGAGAGAGAGAGAGAGGTGCCGAGTCGATTCATTATATACCCGACGCGAGTTATTTACGGTAAATCGCGAAATTGAATTGCGCGCGACTACGCGATAATGTACAAGTTGCGAAACTCGCAGCGCTGTACATATGTATATGTATATACGGCAAACTGAAAAGTTTGTTTAAACCTTAGTATTAACGAGTTGAGCTTCGTTAGGACGCAATTACGCTCGTTACGTTCGCTTAAACATTATGCAGAGTATGCTGAAGATAACGCGATGCAACACTTTCTGATGCAAAAATGTAAAAGTGCCGCGATAAAACTGTTACTCCGTCACGGGAGTACCCTCTCGCTAAATCTTGTAAAAGTTAAGCTCCCGCGTATCCCACGGGAGAGTCGGCACTAACGGAAAAATGCGCGTTTCAGCCGCCTCTTAGTGAATGTATTATTCGGAAGTCTTCATTACACATATAATTATTTCCCTCGGCATGTACGTGAAATTATGAAAAAAGAAAAACCTTCTCTCTTTTTCCACGGAAAGAGATTCGTGTAAAATGATTTAAGGCAAAGAAAATAAAGAAAGTATTATTTCGTAAATGAGGAAAATTCTACTTGGGAAAATTGGTTTAATTATACGTGAAGGATGACCCAATTCGATGAGATATTTTTAACTCGAACAAAGGCGTGCTATTTTTATTCATATTCATACAAACTCAAGTCTGAGAAGCGCGTAAATTGTGTAGCAACAATTTCCCGATTTATGTAGAATTATCTCAGATAAAGTGTGCAAAGGTACTTTTTATTTCTTACCCGTCTTACGTCTATCGTTTGAAAATTTTTTTCAAAGGGAACTCACGATATAGCGTGCAGTAACTCCTGTCGTTGCTTCTCCTTCACCTTTACACTCCCACCTTCCTCGAGGGCTGCTTGCAATTCCCTTTGCAGGACTGCCAATTTGCGGCGCTCGCCTTCCAGCAGTAACGAAGTGACCTGAAACAGCATTTGGTAACTAAGAAAATGATCTCGGCAGTCTCGCGTTTGACAGTAATAATTAGACGCAATTATTGTGATATGTTCGTATTCCGATATGGCGCGACGCAAAATTATAGGTGAAGGGAACAATGGCAATCGCCCACTCTAATATTGAAGCATATTAGTTGATGAATTCAGTGCTAGCACAACAAGACGCAAATAGTGTATAGAAATATGTTGTATGTTGTCATAAATTTGTTCGTGTACGAAATGAAATATAATAGAGAAAAATTTTCAAAATTAATCCTGAAGTAGCGCGTCATAATCAAGCTACACATTGTCCGGATATATAATGAAGCTTTTGTAGGTCACATGATACAGAGGATAAAGATTAATTAACTTTATTAATCAATATAGTCAAATAGAGAAAAACGCAAGTTCGTTTTTACTGAAAGAAAGTCACGTTGTATATCGCGAAATAATCGCTATTATTATATCTCGAAGCAATATTTTGCGAAATTTGATTGTTAATTATTTGATGCAAATTATTTATCCAAACTCAAAATATGAAATTTTATTATTCGTCGGCAAAGCTTAGTAAACTTAATCATTTAGAAATATTATCATATATTATCACTTATAACTGTATCATTTAACAAAGACCAAAGAAGAATAAGGATAAAAAGTTATATTTTCAACGTAAAATTCACGTTTTGCGTTTTTATAACATGACTTTACAGTCAACAATTATCTTAAAGAAATTATATGTCTCTTTGAAACAATCGACACCTCGATACTTTCTGCAAGACGTTGCTTCGAGCGACAATTGCAACTACTTCGCGAAGTCGCAACATGACTTTCTTCCGGTAAAAGAGAGCTTGCCGCTTTCTCCTATTTACCTCCGCGATTCTTTACAGCCGCAAAAGCAGCTGTTACAACCGTTATACTCTTTTACCGTGCAAGAACGCGTTAGATAAGCAAGAAGGAGAGAAAACGTCCCTACCATATCAACCGACGGCGATGCAGTTTTTCCTTCGGTAATCGTATGTTGGTATTGAGATTTAACGCTCACTTTATCGGCCACCAGTCGCGTCTATTATGAATTCTAATATATTCTTAATAATTTTTGACGGAAAAATATTCGTACTTATAAATTTACAGCAGCGAGATATGCAAAATTGATAAAACTTTTTAACGTAAGCGCACGATTAGAGATTAAGGACGACAATAAGAAGAATCTGTACTCTCACAAAAAAAAAATTAAAAATTTGCTAGGTAAAAACAGTGCAATTATCGCGTTAAATTGTACAGATTGACTTGCGTGATGTAGCGTGAGTACTACGTAGCGTTTTCGTAACACTTTCCATCGGAAAAGCTAGACCTAGATTTCGAACGTGAATGCCATTAACACGTCGACTGCCACGATTTTCACTGATTAATTCAACGTTCACAGCTCAAGCTTAACTCACCCAACATACGGTAAATGAATTGCAATTCACGATACGTATATTCATTAGCTTCCTATTAGTTTCACTGGCTTCCTATCGACCATATACACAGAGGAAAAAATTTCTTTAAATTTAATAAAATTTCTTTAATTGAGACAAATTTGTCCTTTAGGATAGAGCAAACAAGCGGATATTTGATTCAACAAACGATTTGAATAATTGAAATACGATGATATTATAGCATCGGTCATTGGTGACTCCATGATAGTCAACGTATTAATAGACCGATGAAGAAGAAAAAAAACTCATTCGTTATCGAACGCTTTGGGAGCGCCGTGCAGCGTAGAAATTCAATTCGTGCTCTCGTTCATACCGATCCCAATAGAGTCTCTATAATAAGAATCTAGACGCCTGTATGCCTGATTTATAATTAGCGCCGCCACTTTCGGCCCAAGCTTCCGGCTGGAATATGTCAAAGGCTACTTTCCAGCAATAGACAATAATCGACATAAATCTGGGTGTATCATTTGTTATCTTCTTCTTTATCAAATGTGAAATAAACATATGGTGACAACAAATGATGATATAACTAGACTTGTGTCGAATTGTGTGTTTTACTGGAAAGCAACCAAAGTGACCAATTGAGTGACAACACAAGCAAAGATTTGCCATCTGCGAAGTCTACGAAAAATCTTAGAAGAAAAGTGAGTTTCACATTGTGATTAATTATGAATTTATTCGAATAATATTGCAACATTATTCGCGTATTACGGTTGTGAACTTCCGGTTTATTCCAGGCATGGCGACCACAGCGACGTACCCAGACTCTTATTATAAGGACTCTACGGATCCCATCGATTTGATTCGCGAGCGCTAATAACGCGCCGCATCCGATTTCACGCGTGCGATTTCGCGCTTACCTGCCCGCCTACCTACGTACGCGCGCGAATCTCTTTTTGCACGCAGCGACGCGTGCAGCAGCGGGGCACCTAAGCACGCGCGCGCTCTCTCGCGCGCGTACACACGTGAAATAGTTCGCGCTCTTGTAGCGTACGGACACCTGGTGCTCACGTATGCGTACACGCGCTCAGGTAAGAAGATACCTGAATAGATAAACGCGCTGAGATACGAGCCGCTCGGCGACTCGCCTAAGCTTCGCTCTCCGCGTCGCGGATCGCGAATATGCCCCGCTGTAATTGGCCGAAAGCGCTGAACTTCCTACGATTATGTGAGTTATTATTGTCGGATTATGCTAATTCCGCGACGTCGGAGATGGAAGCTTCGCGGGGCCGCGAATGCGTGCGAATGCCGCTTCTCTTCTTCTGCTTCTTCGGCGCGTCGTTAACCGGCCCGGCGCCCGGAGACCGCTCGTGTAAAATCGAGAGATATTCCCAAGACGTTCCACATTTCTCTCCTTTTCCCTACCTTGCGTGTGTTACCTTCGTGCGCGTCGAGAGCTTGCAGTTTCTCTCGCTACTTCAATTAAAATCTACACGGGGAATCCTGCGGGGCGGGAAAATGAAATGTAGAGACTGACTTTTCCCGGAGTCACTGGAACTGTATTTCCACCTTCATGTTCGTCTTATTTCACGTTATTTTTATACATCTCCAAGTCGAGATAACAGCATTCAACTTGTCGCTCCGCCTTTTAAGTACGCTATCTAAATCGCAATTTATTGTAAGACTCGTTGCTGTTCTACATTCTCAATAAACATTATATTAATAAGAATAATAATAGAGTAAACGATGTAAGAAAGTGTCTATGTTGCTCGAGTGGTTTGCAATTATTAGGAAAAAAAGCGAAGCACTGCTTTGAAGATAGTTTTTTCCACACTCGAAACTGGCCGAACTCTCGTTCCATTAATCACCGTCGCTGTCGAAAATTGTGTCCGAACGCTTTCTAAACGAGGTACGCCCTGAAATATCAATCGACAATGAAACTATCTTGCCGCGGAAGAGAAACTGCGTTTTTTTCATCGCACATTTTTCCACACATCTTGCTTTTAATGCAAGTGCGCTTCAAGACAAGGGGGATTTACAGGTCTCGTTGGAGAGGAGTGGGTTAATTGCGTTTCTACACGTGCGCGTAACCCGCGAAAGAATACGTCGAGGGCATCCCCGCGCTTTACGACCGCATCGTGCGGCACGTTGAACATTCGCGCGCACTTCGAGACGGAATTTAAATTATATTGTACCGCAGCCGGAATAAGTGAGTTCTTAATCATTTCCCAACCGAAAGTCTCTTCATATTTATATATGTTTGTAGCGGCATAGAAGGAAAATTGATAAAAATTTCTAAGCCGAGCGCACAATGAGAGATTAAAAATGACGATAAAAAATATCCGAGAGGTATCTGCGCATAAGTTTCTCATCGTTGCCTTAATGATTTAGAATTTTTTTATGCTGATCGCTTCTTTTTTTTTTACGCGTAATAACGATTTAAACTTTATCTCGTCCTGTGCATCTCGGCACGATGCGTAACGCATCATGATGATGAGTCAAAGCACGCAGAGGCGTGCGATAATAAAATTATAATTTCTCCGAGCCGAGCTGAGCGCTGCCGTGAGTTTTGCTTATTACGCAACCCGACGTAAATCGCAACGGAAATTGCCACATTCGTGCACCACTATACAGTTACAGAAGTAGTTCCCGATCCGTGCGTTCGCGCTTAAAGATTTCGCAAGTCGCAAACCCGCCTGAAAAGTGAACGATTCTCTCCGCGCGGCGGACGCAACTTTTCGCATTGTGTATCGTGACTTTAGCGAATTTTCTTTTCCTTTTTTCTTCCGACAGTTCCAAAAATGCACGATAGTTCTGAAGATAAATCTAGAAAATTGCAGACCATCGATACGCGGCACGCCCGATGCACAATGGAATCTCGTTACGCGGAAAACCGAGTTTGTCCGAGGGTACTTCGTTACCGCGAGTTGCGCGTATCCGAGCGAGAAACGTGGTCAGGTAAAAAGAATTTGAAAGAGAGTTATATTAATAATTTAATTATATTACTATAATAGGTTAATAATTATTGTCTCACACTGTATAAATAGATAAGAGCGTTTATTAACATTCTAAAGATGACTATCTAAAAACGTGAATTAAATAGAATAATAAAATGGACACAAAGAAATATAACGCGAGAAAGGAAATACGAAGAGAGCGAGAGAGAGAGCGAGAGAGAGAGAGAGAGAGAGAGAGATTTCCTGAAAATTCTACGTTCCATCTATGTGCTTGTTATAACCCGAGAGGGTCTACCTCGAGGAGCGAGTCGCGTGCAGTTTTCCTCTCGTCACTTTCTTTCTCGCCATTTTCAATTGTTCGATTAAGCCTCCCCGGAGAGCTCTCAAAGGAAGACGCTTCCTCTCGTGAGATTTCATGTATGTGACTTTCGTCTACGGTCCGTCCCGTTGCACGAGAGGAGCGGTTTCCCGAGCAGCAGTCGGACCTCGGGGAACCCTTCGAGGGCTCGCTATCAGTCGGGAATCACGGCGCAGCGCGGCGCGACCGATTACGTTCACGCGATCACCGGAAGTTTCCGAACGCTGCTTGGGACCAGAACGCGTGAGAGAGTAT